AATGTATTAAAACATTGTACATTGATATCAGTCACAAGGAGAAGGGCAAAACACATGATTATATATATATATATATATATATATATATATATATATATATATATATATATATATATATATATATATATATATATATATATATGTGTGTGTGTGTGTGTGTGTGTGTAATATAATTTGTATGAAGAAAAAAATATTTTATTAATATAACCTTTTAAAAGAAACTAGAATTCTGGCATGTTTCGCAATAACGCTATTGAGCTATAATTTTATTGTGCCATGGTGAGTTCATCCCATCCGATCTCCCAGATCGGTGTGTGTGTGCGTGCGCGCCTCTGTGTGTGTGTGTGAGTGTGTGTGTGTGTGTGTGTGTGTGTGTGTGTGTGTGTGTGTGAGAGAGAGAGAGAGAGAGAGAGAGAGACTACAATGATGCACTAGCAAGTAGTCTTCCACGTTATGTATTCATAATAGTTGACCTTTGATTCCAAAATTGTTTATGTCATTTCATCAGTGCAATAAACATAAAATTGTCTTTCCATTTGTTGAAAAGTCTTTTGTCGATTTCATCTTATTTTTCATAATAATCTGCAGCAGCACCCAAGCGTTATCACCAGAATTTTATTTAATCTAACATGATTATTATTCTTTATTGTTGTATTATGTATATAAATCATCATCTTCGTTGTTGTGACCATTATCGTTATTGTCAGTATCAGTCGCTGGATACGATGGTTATACTTATTTGTGGGTATAATCCAGTGCAACTAGATAAAGGAAACGACGAAGATAATCATATTAATGCGAATTTTCAATTTCTTTTTTAGTAATCAACAGCATCTGATCTTTAAAAATTAAATTCAAATTCGATATGGTGTCTGCCGTAAACTAATAGTGTATAACCCAATATAATTGCAAGTTTTAAATTCCTACTTGTCACAGGTAGGAAGCATTATGCCCACCGGTATGGGATGACAGTGGGAAAAAATGATGGAAAAAATAAATACTCCTCAGTCCCGTTATAGTAACCAGGTGCAGACAGTGGAAAAGTAATTTTATCAGCTGTTCCGACACAGCTGAATGGTTCAAAGGAAACTTTGCGTGAATAAAAGACAAATGAATGCAAAATACAATAGTGTTAAGTTACTAAACTCTTCATAGACGAAGGCGTGACTTAAAGATTATATCAATGGATCAACGCACACGTTTTAGAACGAAATTAAACAACCATGGAAGGTGACGATAGAAGTCTTAAACAATGGATGATGCCAGAATATATAATAATAATAATAATAATAATAATAATAATAATAATAATAATAATAATAATAATAATAATAATAATAATTATAATAATAATAATAATATGATGATGATGATGATGATCATGATGATGATGATGATGAGGAGGAGGAGGAGAATGATGATGAGGAGGAGTAGGAGGAAGGGAGGATAATGATGATATTATAATTTACACTACTACTACTACTACTACTACTACTATTTCTACTACTACTACTACTACTACTACTACTACTACTACTACTACTGCCAGTAGCTTCTCGTGGGTCGGTGGTTCTTTCCGGTGATTTCCCGGTTTCTTCCTCCACCATTAATACTGGCCGCCATGAATAGCCTATCGTGTGCTGAAAAATGGCGTTAAGCCCAACAACAAACAAACAAACAAACTACTACTACTAGCAACTACTGAGGCCAATGGTTATGGTAATGGACTCACGACTGAAATAATGCTGGTTCGAGCCCATTTATAAAACCAGCCTGGGTTAGCTACCGTAGTATGTCCTTGAAAAAATCACATTACTCCAATTACCTCTGCACTAAATAACCTATTTGTGTTGCTGTGCCTTAAACCACCAAAAGCAATTTCATAGTCGTGGTAGTAGTAGTAGTAGTAGTAGTAGTAGTAGTAGTAGTAGTAGTAGTAGTAGTAGTAGTAATAATAATAATAATAATAATAATAATAATAATAATAACAACAACAACAATAATAATAATAATAATAAGAAGAAGAAGAAGAAGAAGAAGAAGAAGAAGAAGAAGAAGAAGAAGAAGAAGAAGAAGAAGAAGAAGAAGATGATGATGATGATGATGATGATGATGATGATTGGTTGGTTGGTTGGTTGGTTGGTTGGTTGAATTTTTACGGCGCACCAGCACAAAGAGGCCATTTAGCGCCATACAAAAGGTTATATCCTTTATTGTGTACAAATGGTAAAAAGGTTCTATATCGGCCAGCGATACGAAACCAAATAGCTAAAGGTAAAACGATAAAAATGGTAACGATGATAAAAAATAGTTTCCCGATCAACGGGGATTGCAAATAATGTATGACAACGAAAACGTATGAAAGGTAAGAAGAAGAAGAAGAAGAAGAAGAAGAAGAAGAAGAAGAAGAAGAAGAAGAAGAAGAAGAAGAAGAAGAAGAAGAAGAAAAAACAGCAACAATAGTAATACATTTTTACATATTTTATAATGGAAGATCGTGTAAACTATTTTTTCTGTAACAATTATGCCAACCAAGTGGTAATTATTTTGTATTGCAGTGAAAACGTCATTTTTTCAATTGCTGTTTATATCTTAACTTCTATATTGATCTTTTTCATTGCTCTTACACTGGCACGCAGGCACTGTCACACACACACACACACACACACACACACACACACACACACACACACACACACACACACACACAAACACACACACACACACTTATCGCAATTGCTAACAACCCCAACTTGGAGTTCCGAAACCAGGAAGGAAAAGGAATCTAACTGGATAAGCCGTCTTAGTACATTGAAGCCAAGCAGTTTAAGCCAAGAAGACTAGAATGAGACAGCCACGCACAAGTGGAAATAGCCCATTTCATACCGGATTTAACCGAGTTGCTCCGTAATTGTCCTAAAAACTGCCCGAGTCACATTATACTCCAGCCAATCACACGCTGGTGGGCATATGTACAGAACAAAATGGCATACATTTTTGTTTAGACGTATCAGATTAAAACAAATTAAGAAATGCCAGCTACCTGCCCGCTAAATTGCTGGGACTTCTGCAGCTTTACCGTCGAAAAATATTCCAGGTTTGTTATATCGCATATTAATACGAAAAATTCCTTTTATTGGTAAACGAAACTCGATTTATGAAATACGGTGTTATGGTGAAAAATATGATTAAATTTTTAGCATCGACACCGTTTCCATACTCGCACGTACATGTCCAGATATAAACAGCTCATAGCTACTCTCTCTTATGGCTATACAATAGCCCTGGTTTCCAGAAAATAAGACAGGATGGTTCCAATATTAAATTTCGTCAATATCCGTGGCATCATCGCTGTTGAATAGACATTTTTCAACTCGATAAACGAAGCTGAAGTAGTTGGAACAGTTGATGCTAATGCTGATGCGTCCGCCTTGTTTTGACCACTAGTCTGGTCCCCTGCTTAGTATGCTCCCTGCGATGCACTTAGCGGAGTGCATCGCAGGGAGCATACTAAGCATGGGACCAGACTATTTGACGACCAGCTATCGATTGGATATTGAGGTCAGTTGACCACCCGCCACGTGATCAAATTCCGAGCAAATTACGAAGTTCGCCGAAATCACCATGAAATGGTCTATATCCGTTGCAGCCGAGGCATTTTCTTTTCTAAACTTTTTAAAATTCTCTTAGTGGCCTTCAATTACTACTATAAAAATGATATATCCGGGATATTATTTGCGCTTACATAAATGCACACAAAGTAATAGATGTTTCTATGGCTCATCGATTTCTGCGGCAATACAAATATTTTCCAGTACCCGCTTCAAGTTGATATAGACTGGTTGAGAGGTAATACATTGAACGGTTTAATCCATGTAGAAACTGCCATGTTAATTAAGTTTTGCAAACACAATGGTTCTTGTGTTTTAGTTGTTGTTTTTTTTTTGTATTTTTGTCTATGTTTTAAATATAACTCTAAAAAAGACTCATTAAAAGTCGAAAGCGCTCAGGCTAGTTAGATATTAGATTTGCATGTTCGTCGTCAGTTTATTGCATTTATCTCAATCAATCCCTGATACACGTGATCCTTTGCTGGATCTATTGCGCTTGAAAAGGCTGTTATTCGCCATATGATTTTTTAAAATTCTCTCTCTCTGTCTGTCTGTCTGTCTGTCTGTCTGTATGTCTCTCTCTCTCTATATATATAGTGAGAGAGAGACAGACAGACAGACATAAAGACAGAGAGACATATACATCATCACTATGACAGAGCCTATCGGAAATGGAATTTCACTTTCAAAAATTCGTTATTAAAAGCATGTATATTCAAATATGATCTTGGTAATTATATAGTAACATAAGATCCAATTAATAATTTCTATTTGAAAATTAAATTTCAAAATTTATTTTCCAGAGTTCGCTAATTCGATGCGTTTAATTCAAATCACCTTATTACTCGAGTTCAACTTAAAGCAACACAAACCCGGATTGTCGTTTGATCCAGCGGATGCAGATCAGCTCGTTTGTTGTTTGTTCTAATGGTGACTTCTAAGAAATTGAGTATATCTAGATCTGCCAGCACGTTATGCAACGGCGATCTTTAGCTGTGCAATTTGCACTTGGATTCGACTTATATGCCAGTTTATACGGTAATCCGTTATTTAATCTTCATATTTATCGTGTTATTGATATACTTAATTTTATGGACTATCAAGATTATGTTATCTAATGAAGAGTTACACATTTTGATTTTCAGTCATGTAATACCTGAACAATCGCGCGAATGTATCCAACTTTCTAATATGCTCTATACAGCTGTATATCGATAACATTTGTATTATGCCTACATTACAGGGAAGCTTGCGTAGTGATTATCTTTTAGATAGCTGCAACGGTAGTGGAGGCGATGGTGTCAGAACTTTGTTAAGGATTGTGCGCTCAGTTTTTCATTTGCATATGTTTCCTAACCCCAATGATACATTCTCAACATACTTGAGTCCGCTCCGGTGGCCTAATTGGTTAGGTGTTCGCTTCAGATGCGGGAGTTCGCGCGTTCGAATCGTGACGGAGTCATACTAAAGACGCCAAATAAAGTTACTAGCAACTGCCTCGCTTGCCGCTTAGCATTTGGAGGTTAGTATCAGGATTGTTCGGCCTGGCGTTAGAATAATGTCACACGGTGGTTGTTGTTGTTCTGAGGCTTAACGTAATTTTCAGCACACGATAGACTATACATGGCGGCCAGTATTAATGGTGGAAGAAGAAACCAGGAAATCCGTGGAAAGAACCACTGACACACGAGAAGCTACTGACAAGCTTTTTCACATATCCACATTCGCCGAATATTAGAATCGAACCCACGCAGACAGAGATGAGATGGCAGTGATCCGTAACCGAGAGCGCTTTCGACTACTTAGCCATTCGGGGCCCCATAATTCGGTGGGACATGATGCGACATGTCTGCGGCATGATGCCCCAGTGCTAGATATCACTTTTTACTGCCACACAGCAGACATCATAGGGTCATGACTGTAACATTGTTAAAGCTACGTTTAAAATCTAAATGATACACACACGCGCGCCGCATACAAAAATAAACACAGACGCACATGTATTCATCATACTTGACATAAATCATTATCACATCAACAATTCTCTCCACAAAATACTTATCCCTTTTAATTTGGGTCACGGTCTTTTAACATTTGTCCAAAGTGATTAAGTAATGGTTATGTGATGTGATTACAATTTTTAACGTAGCTTTAACAATTTTTCAGACATATCGTGTGACAGTTTCTAGTGATGTCTAGCACTGGGGCATCATGCCGCAGACATGTAGCATGATATCACATCCAGTCACGTTATTCTGACACCAGGCTGACCAGTCCTAAAACTAACCTCTTAATCCTGAGCGTCAATAATGGTTTTGTATTTATCATTTGGTTATTGGCGCCACGTGTGACCGAGTGGTGTATGGCGCTGGTCTTTGCTCTCTCGCCCAACTCACCTCTGTCCGTGCGTGTGTGTGAGAGAGAAAGCTTATAATTCAGCTTCTCGTGGTGCGGTGATTCTTCTTGGGTCACTGGGTTCTTCCCTCACCAGATTCAGTGGTCTGCATTTATAGCCTATCGAGTGCTGCAAATGGTGCTAAAACTTCAAAAGCAAAATTAACATAATTGCAACTATTTCCCGAGGGCCCCGAGTGGCTGAGTGGTCTAAAGCGCTGTCCGTTATGTTTCACTGCCATCTCACCTCTTTCTGCGTGGGTTCGAGTCTAGGTTTTGGCGAATGTAAATATGTAGAAAAGCTTGCCAGTAGCTTCTCGTGGGTCGGTGGTTCTTTCCGGTGATATCCCGGTTTCTTCGTCCACCATTAATACTGGCTGCCATGCAAAGCCTATCGTGTGCTGAAAAATGGCGTTAAGCCCCACAACATAAAACAATAAATATTTCCCGAACCCATTGAGCGGTTCTCATTATCCCTGACATTATTCATAATAGAGACGTGACAATTGATTTATCGACACACTCGCTCGCCTGAATGACCTTCTGGTTAAGATCATAAGACAATGATGATAAAGTAATTTATAGCGTTCTTTATTTACTTAATATTTCCTAAATCCGTCTTTGGATTTTCTTCTTGCTTGGCATTAATCGTGATAAGCCTACGACACGACGCGCTATATCGCCGTTTGATATCTAGGTCAAATCGTGATAAGCCTACGACACGACGGGTAATATCGCCGTTTGATATCTAGGTCAAGATCACAATCACGGATAATATGTTACAGTTTTTATTAATGTTTTTTAATTTGCTTACATTTCTTAAACCACTTGATGTATATTATTCTTACTTGAGATGGATTATTATTAAGCTGGGACAAATTTTTATTGCAACACGCATTATCTCCCCTTTGACCGTTGGTGAAGGTCACTGTCATACGATTATCTTTCAGGCTTTACTTAAAGTTCTTTTTCTTTTTAAATAATTATATTTCTTTAACCCCTTAATGAATTGTATTCATACATTAAAAGAATAATTTATGAAGCTAAGGCAATTCATTCTGCAAATACTGGTTCAACCTTTGACCTTTGACCTGTATGCCAAGGTCACATGCTTGACATCAATACTTTGATTGTGGGCTTGACATATTTTGGTTCTTATATTTTCTTTGGAATATAATTTGCCCTGTGATTTTTTCAAGAATTACCACGCAATCTCGTACTCAACATAATCACCGTGTAAGCTACAGGAGTCGATTGCATGAATATTACTTAAAGAGTGCATCCTAGTAACATTTAACAAATATTAAAAATATTTTATACGTCTCAAAAAAAACTACTATTCGATTCTGGTTTTCTTCTTTTATTATTTTTTTATTTGTTTATACTCTACTAATTCACACCGCAATCAGCGTAATCACAGACAAGCAAATTGATAGGTTTTTGTGCATTTTCATTGGGGGATGGGGTGGGTTTCGCAAAAGTTAATCGTGTTCCATTCTGCAAGATATAACACACCTTGATGAGATGTTAAATCCCGAATTGTAATACAAACCGAGCGTGCGCAGTAAGAGGAAATTTTAAAGTTTTATTTTCAATAAAAAGAAGACGCTTTTGGACTAACCGTAGAAGAAAGTTTTTTAATAGCTCTGTCGGGTGGATGGGTGTGCCGACATAGAAACTAGCCTAGAGTCCAACACAGACCTTATTGCAAACCATTTCATAATACTGTGTTTATCAGAGGGAATACTAGGTAAGAAACAAATGTAAAAAAATAAATCGTAGCACAACAGAGTTACTTTACGACTTGTTTGTGCACCGTTGTAGAAACCTTCTAAGCTCAGTATACACGTGTAGCTGTGAAGAGATCATCTTGACTTTTAAGCCAGGTGTGAGTAGTTGCTTTATGTTAAAAATGTGGATCAGCATGTACGAAAAGTCTCCATAAAGTGGACAGTGAAATATGTTAATTATATAGTAACAACTGGCATAAATACATATAAAACTACTGCTTTGATTTTTTTTGGTCACATTTTGGAATTATTATAATTTATGTAGTAAGTCTGTAAAATGTCATGTCTTATGGGAAAGGGGGGAGCTTAGTGTAAATGTCAGAAAGGTCCATTACTGCATATTACAAGTTCACAGTACAAGTCGAGCTCACAACCCTGTTTCTGGGTCAGTCTACTTTTGTTTACATAAATATTTACATTTTGAGCAGAATCCGTATGTGCCACCAAACTTTTGTTTACTTGCCTAATTATCCTGCCAAAGAAAATTACTAAGTATTTATAATCGTGTTAGAAAAAACATGATTTGGCTCTGTTGATTTTAGCGCATTTCTAAGCACATTTTACATACAGTTAAGATACATTGCGCCCAGTATGTTGGGAAATATCTAGGAAGTACCACTGACCCACGAGAAGCTGTTAAATTACTGGCACGCTTTCTCACATACACGCGTTGATCGAACCCCCTTGGACAGAGGTTCGATATGACTGATCTGCAAATATGACCGCCATGTAAAAAACACCCACAAAATACCCCTCCCCAAAAAAAACGGATACAGCGGCTGTTTAGTTCGATCAATCGATTGTGGCATACATAGATATATACAAAACTTTATACCAGAAATATAATATTTTATTGTTATTGTTATTGTTATTGTCATTGTTGTGGGCTACACATATTGGCCATTATATCTAATGGAGAAATGAAAACACATTTATTATGATGTTGGATGTTGTATTGTTCTGTGCTCACGATTGTTTTTATTATTGTTTATGTGTGCAGTGAGTGACACGTAGGTCCCAACAGTGGAAGCGCTAGTTAACGCTGGGGGGTTTTTTGTGCACACCCACATCCACATACACACATACACTAGCACGGTTAACTGTGGTTGTTAGTTTCAATTTCAATAAATGCTTTCATGTATATTTATTGTAGTTCTAAATGGCAGTCCCTTGGCTTTGTGTATATTGCCAAATAATAAAATGGTCCCCATGTGAGTGAGTTCCTTCACACATCAAGTCCTTTCTTTTGATCTTGTTCGAGGCCCGGGATCGATTCTGCTGAGAACGAATTATAAGTTCCAACCGGCTTGAGTATGTCGGTGTTATGAACACACAAAAAAGTTTTTTTTTAATCGGAGACTCGTATTTGTCCTTTTAAAACTATTTAAATCCTATTGTAACCCGTAATTTAAATTGTTTGAGACAGTTATGTGAGCGGGAAGGTCTCCCAACACTCCGTCTGGCAAACGTTTAAGACAAAAGAACCAATGAGTTTCTCATCTCGCATATAATAATTATTTATTATCAATTAATAGCGTCACTACATGTACCCTGCACGTCACAGCCATCGCCCTTTTCCCCGCTAAACTTTCATTGTGTTTTCTTGGATCATTAATCCTGTTTTCCGAAGGATTAAATGGAATAAATCCCAAAACACGCCGTCGTTTCTATCTCTTACGGCAGGTTTCACACACATAAAGCTTTGAACTCGCCAATATACAAATCAAAGACTTCGTCGCACCCCACTATTGTGGGTTTAACTGTTGACAATACCCATATCCCAGCGACTTAGGCTTTGTTAAGAATTTACTAATCTCTAAATGAAGAAAAATGTATTCAATTTTCAACCGATATGAGAAAAAATACGGGTTTTATATTTCTACAGAGAGCTGATTAGGACAGAATCAATAGAATTTCTTTCTAGTCAAATCGCATTGAAAGCGTAATTAATTCTTTCCGTTCGTACAGTATCCGATCTTCCACACTGCTAGTTTCGAGCCGTAACCCACTAGGAACAGCGGCAAAAGAGCTAGGAGTCTGTGGACAGTTGACATACGATTCAAATTTACGGGGAATTAATCAAATCAAGTAACACTGATGGAGATAATTTCAATTATTTCCTCCCATAAAAATTCTGAAAGCGTCAATAAATAATTGTCCATTGGCCTATAGGCTTTTTTTGCGCTACTCATATTGGGCGGGTGAAGATTAATTTTGACATATCCTTAAAACTATTATACCGCCTTTTGCATGGAGTAATTAAATTTTCTTGACGCAC